CAGGCAAGCACAGGGACAGAATGCCATGCTGGCCCCACCCTCAGGGCGGGCTGAGCCAGTGACAAGAGTCCAGGCGTTGTGGCACATGCCTATAATCCAAGCACTGGGGAGGCTGAAAACGCTGAGTCGGAGCTGGGTAGTGAGACCCTGTACTAAATGCATAAAAAAATAAAATAAATTTAAAAAGCTAATCAACTTATTAAAGCTCACAAAATGACTACTTATTCCCAGGACTTTAAAGCTAAGGCTTTTCCTACTACTATATGCAATTGCACAGAAAATATTTCAGATCAATCAGTTCTCCAATGAAATTTCTTTTTAAAAAATGGACTAGTTCAAACATTCTTTTCCAGACTGTCCCTAAACAATACTAATTTTCTTGAGCAAGAGTTTACTACGCATGGCCCATTAGATCTTTTTGTTATTCTTAGGTACCTTTTCTGGAAAATGCCTTTAGATCAAATGAAGTAGGTCACAGTCTGCTTAAAATCAGCTCTAAGGTCTCATATTCAAAGAGATGGGTTGCACTTCTAGAATGCCAAGTTTAACTTAAAATCCTCAGAAATAACACCCTATCTTATATATTTAGCTACTTGTTTTCCTGTAAAATGTATCATCCAACCCTAAGAGATGAAGTAAAGGATGAGAAAGAACCTGAAACACATTCGAAAAAAGAAAGTTCAGGATCTTCAATTCCAAATAGTGAACTCCAGATTTCCAGGTGGTTTTTGCAGGGCCCTGGGAAATGATAACAGTCTCCTTCCCCAGTCCTTTGGGAATGATTAAAGTGCAGTTTCTGGAATTAGACACATGAAAGCTCACCATCTCTGTGACTCATGATCATGGCCTTTAGCAAATTAACTGTTCTAAACCTCAGTTCCCACAGATATAAAATGAAAACACAGTAATAATGATACACATCACATTTCTAACTATTGTGCCCAGGTCCTACATTCTCCCTAAATTTTAAGTTTCCTCATCAGTGTTAAACTCATTGGCTTGAAAGAAGTCTATGGGACAAATGACAGGGTTTATAAGCCTTCATGGGACCAGCACCAATTTCAGCTGTCCACTAGATTTGGGAAGCAAGTTGCAGCAATGGAAAAGCAGCAAGCAGAAACTTCATAGGGAAAGAAATGCATATGCGTTTGAAAGCAAAGGTGTATAAATAATCCTCTCTACTAAAAGTTAGCATGCCTGACTTAAAACTGGAAAAGGCAAGAGAAGTAAAATACCATTTCAGGAAGTAAAATAAACTGCCTAGTTTTCCATTACCATGATGGGCACTCCAATGTCAGGCCACAGAAGGTCCTCCGAGGGCAGCTTGGGGGAATTCCACACCACTACCACCTTGTTCAGGTAGGGGAGGCCATTCAGTCTCTCTAAAGAGTTCATGAGTACCTCCTCCCTCTCGTAAGTCAACATCACCACTGTGAACTGCTCTCTTGGCACGTTGCCTCCAAGCGCTGCCTGAAACTCCTTGCCAGAGCCCCCAGCTCCACCACCAATAGGCCGAAATCCAGTCCCTGAGCCCAAGAACTTGGCCTCTGAGGGCAACACAGGGTCAAATGGTGTGTGTGGGAAAAGATGGAAAGGCCCCGGAGCAGAGTTCCAGCTGCGGTAAAAGTCAGTGACAGTGAGAGTGAAGTTGCGGAGGTATTTAGGTGAGGCATACGGCGGCTCTGTCTCTACTGGGCCCAGGTCCAGGTCCCCATTGTCGGCCATGTTGGGGTCAGTTCCAGCAGCCTTGCCTGAACGATGGGGTATCTCAGCTGCTACCTCTTCCCGTATGGGAGCAGCTGGGATCTGTATGCGAGTCCTAATCATAGCCAGCATGGTATTAAAAATACTGTCAGTGGTGGAAAAGTAAGTCTCCCAGAGAAAGCGGCCTTGGCGCCTCATGGCCAGTAGATCACTATCAGAGAGACTCCGTAACAAGAAGTGAACCTCAGTAACACGCGGCTTGGGCACCACCAAGGCTGCCTCATTCCACTGTAGCATGTCCTGGTATGGAAGCTGCACTTGCTCCCCCAGCACAACCGGGACAGCGCCAACCTCCAGGGCTTCAAAGAGCCGTGTGGCACACCCAGCTGAAATAACCAGGCGGGGGTCTCCAGGAGTGATGATGAGGGCAAAGGTAGAAAGCTTCAGCAACTCTAGGCGGTCCTCCCGCTCCCCACACAGTGCCCATTCAGTAGGCAGACTTGGCTTTGGTTGGTTTTTGCAAGTAAATTCTACAAGGACCTGATCTAACTTGCTGTCCTGTACTGCCTTGAGGGTGGCAATGATCCGGTCATCATAGTCAGCAGGGGGGTCACCCTCCATTTCTTCTTCAAAGGAGCGGGCCTCCTGAAGGCTGGATCTCAGGGATTCAATCTTCTCACCCTGGAAGGTGAAGAGATATTTCCGCTTCACTGGTACCTGTGGTGGGATTTCCATGAAGTTCGGTTCTGACATGGCATGGACTAGGGGAGAGACTACCAAGTCAAAGCCAGCCCTGTACTGGGCAGCATAGAAAGTGGACTGGGCCACCATGGCACGTCCTGTACTGATGTTGTACAGTAAATTCTGGGTGTCTGACTTCCGGGACAAATTGATGATGACATGGTTGTGTCCATCTGTCCGCCAATGTGGTAGAGAATGCAACTGCTTCTCAAGGTCAGCAGGCCGCAGCACTATTGGCTCCTGCATTTCTCCCACTAAAATCACATAAAGACAGGCAATGTCTGCGTTGTCTGTAACATAGATGTTGGTGCGTGTGGTTGCCTGAAAAGCCTGCTTGACCAAAGGGTCTAAATAGCTGCCAAAAGCAAACTGGTCACTGTCATAAACATACACTGGAAAACCAGAAGTAAGGGGACAACGAGAATAATCAAAGCAATTATGCAGCCGGCAACCCCATGTGGCCTTTGGAAGGGGCAGACCAGCATCATCCTTCTCAGGGAGCAATCGGATGGGCAGAGACAGTTTGGGCTGATTCTGGGCCATCAGCTCTTTGTAAGAGTGCTCCGTCTGACTGATGACATTCTTGAGCTGCAGCAAGTCCTGCTTGGCATTCTCAATGCTTTTCTTACAGGCTTCGATCTTTAGGTTCAGCCTGGCAATCTCACTGTTCAGCTCCTGCCTCTTTGCTTCCAGCTGTAAGAGTTCCTCGCTCACAGACTCACGAATGCGACAGAGATCCAGCACATGTTTTACCTCACAGAGCTCACTGCCGGCCCGTGGGCCAAAAATCCGCTTGCCTGCCTCATCCGCCTCATCCAGAGTGGTGAGATAATAGTGAGCAATGAGGGGAAAGAAAACCAGGATGATGAAGAGGGTAAAACTGAGCCATGTGAGCCGGATGCGGTTGGACCAGCGTAACATACAGGTTTGACCTCCATTCCCCACACCCCCACTACGCAACATGGCATAGCCCGTCATGAGTTCTTTGTGGCTCGTGCCCTCTCTGATCACGTTGGATCACTCGCCATCACCATGAGTTTTGATTCGGCAAAATTCAACCTCTTCACTCAGATGTCTCCAGAAGAGTTAGTGTGCTCCCTGTACAAGGCACCAAGTAAAATGGAAATTTCATTTTCCTCAGCTGCAATTGACCCTATTCTGGTAGATTTTGAATTCTGCTTATTGACCAATTCTGCTTGTTGCTGGATCCTTAATTTTCACCAAACAAAAGGTGCCACATTGTTGCTGAGATGAAAGGGAAAAAGTCCCTGATGGTGAAACCCAGGAAAAATACCTTGGAACCAAACAGACCATTTCAACTGCCATAGCTCTTGCTCCTTGGTTTTGCTGACCCACAAATATGCATAATTTCTATTCACAGTACAGTAAATTCTGAGTGTCTGACTTCTGGGACAGATTATACAGTAGCTGGTTAGAACAGCTGCAGTTAGAAATGCCAGCCTCTTATCAATGTCATTGCCAACAATCAGGCCTGCAAAAGAAAGAAAAACATGTCAGTTTTGAAAAGATCTTACTCAATAACACCACCTAGTACATTTAGAGAAAGTGCTTAAATCTGTTAAGTGACTGAAACTGGTGTGTGTCTCAAAGAACCCCTCTTAATTCCAAGGTAGAGATTATGTCTGGTGTGGGCATATTACTTGTGGTTAGTAAAAAAGGGATACAGTCCCCTAGAAAGTTTCAGTTTGCACACCTCGACCCAGCCTATTCCTGCATCACTACATCAAGAATGGTACAAGAACTCTACACAATGATGTCTACTAAAATCAACAGTGGGGGAAGATGTCTGCAAGACCTATTTATTTATTTATTTGCATTTTTTAAAGAAGGGTCGGGGCTGGTGAGATGGCTTAGTGGTCTAAAGCACCTACTTAGAACAAGCTTAGCAGAGCACAGGGACCACGGTTCAATCCCCCAGCACCACATGCCAGCCAGCCCCGCCCCCTGGTGGGCTGAGCTGGCCACACACACACACACACACACAAATAAATAAATAAAAATTAAAAAAATAATAATAATAAATAAAGAAAGGTCTACAGGGTGTTCAGGGTCTCACTACTAGGTCAGACTTGTAGTGATCTGCCTGTTTACAGCCTCCCAAGAGCTGGGATTACAGGCACCTGCCACCACGCTCAGTCTCAAATGCCATCTCAGTGTGCTCTAGGGGCAGGACCAGCACAGCAGGCCCAGAAATCATACCCCTGGCCCCTACACCTGCTTGCAGGTGCTTTAATCTGCTGAGCTATTTGGCTGGCCCTTGCAAGACCAATTTATTATCTGAGACCTGTGCATCAGCCTCAAATGGAGAGAAACACTCTCCTATCCAACCATGGTGGCTATCCAACCATGGTGGCTATATTCACTCCGAACATGAAAGTTTCCTTTTGATCTACTTAGCAAAAGAAAAAGACTTTGAGAAGCTCAATTTAGACCAAAAAAGAGTCAAAGAGAATGCTTTTGCTCTTCATCCAGTAGCAGACATAGGAATCTGGAGATGAAAGGTTTTTCCCAGTTTGTGTCTATTTATCTTCCATTAGCAGACAGCAAGTTCTCCTTTCAGAAGAGTACCATATTTAGGAATGAGAAGAAGGGGCCAGGGAAATAGCTCAGCGGTCTAAGCACCTGCTTGGCAAGCTCAAGGACCCCGGTTTGATCCCTGGAACTGCATGCCATACTGGCCCCACGTGGAGCCGGCCACCAAAACCAGGCCTGGTGGTGCATGTCTGTAATCCAAGTGCTGGGGAGGCTAAAACAGGAGGATCACTACAAGTCTGAGTTGCGTAGTGAGACCATGTACCAAATAAATAAAAGATTTTACAAAAAAATTTTTTAAAGGAATGAAAGGATTACTTGGTTTCCTTCAGGGTCAGATATGCTATTACTCAGTGTACTATGCCTCTAAATTAGAAGTAAACATATAGGGATAAGACAGTATATTGCAATGAAAATGAAGCAAGAAGATCCATAAGTACTTCAGGCTACCTAATCATGAAACCACACTATCAGTCTTGTGCCCTCCCCAAACTTTATGATAATAGCTTTAAAAAGCTATCTGCTTTCTCCCAAGTCCAACATATATAGAAATTAACCATAAGATGCTGTGCAAAAAATATTCCCTATTTTTTTCACTTATTTCTTCCAAAAAGAAATTCAACACATTCTTGACATACCTAAGGCATGCTCTAGTCACTGTGAAAGAATCTAGAATGGGTAACAATCCTTGACCACAGAATTTCATTTAGCCTAGGAGACACACTATAAACAAACATCAAGAGTACTATTACAAGGTAACATAAAATAAGTACTCTCATAGAGGAGCAACTATACCTTCCAGTTTCTACCTTTGTTCAAAATGCGTAACTACAGAAGATTTGATAAGAGACTTCTTTCTCTTTAAGTAACAACATAAAGTTAATAGTAGTGTTACTAAACAGCATAAGCACAGTAAGTACTAAGATGACCAAGACAACACAAACATCTACTCTGGGAAAGATTATTTGGATTGTGTGAACTTGGATAATTAACAGCCTGGCAAGCATCCCAAAGAACATAGGAAGGTCAGTATTTCTAAAGCATTCTCATTATCGTTTTGATCCAAGAATTTAAATCTCTCTTTTGGGAAAGGAAAAAAAGGGACAAAAAAGAGGGGGAGGGGAGAAAATACCAACAGCTTTGTAAATGGGAAAGAGGGGGGTGATGGGAGAGTACAGGAATGGGGAAAAGTTGTATAGGGTACAAGTACAAATTCTCTATGGTGAATGTGATTGTTATATATATCCGAAATGAAACCAATAAAATCTAATTTTAAAAATAATTACATAAATCTCTCACTATTGCACTGATGATCAAATAACAAAGAAGAATGGAAAAGAAAACGAGGAAGATAAAATCAAGGCAATACAGTGATTCCTCCCTTTCTTACCCTATGTGCATGTACCAGGATACTTCTTTTCTCTGGCTTATGAAGGATTATACTTCCATATAAGATTTCTTGAAATAGTGAACACCAGGGCCTGCTCTCCTGATTTAAAAAGAAGATAGAAAAGTGATATATCATTAGAAAAATATTCAATACTGGAGCTACTATTAAATAATTTCCTTACTAGTGCTGGAGAGATAGCTCAACAGTCTAAGCGCCTGCCTGGCAAGTGCAAGGACCTGGGTTCAATCTCCGGTACCACATGCTGTGCTAGCCCCGCATGGAACCAGCCACCAAAACCAGGTGTGGTGGCACACATCTGTAATCCCAGTGCAGACGAGGCTAAAACAAGAGAATCACTACAAGTCCGAGCTGTGTAGCAAGACCCTGTACCAAATAAATAAATAAATAAATTCCTCACTAACCTTCTGAAAAGGCTTTCCTTATGCATACAGATAGTGACATTACAGTTTGCTACAGAGACGCCAATAAAACACACCAGCACAACGGGTGTAAAGTGGAACCCTCACAGGCATACTACCTAGATATATGATACCTACCATTGTGGAGGACCACCTGAGCAGCCCTCCTTGAAAGAAGAGTGACTGTCTCCATTTTGACAGCCTGACCCTATTTCCTCGGATTGTTATGCACAGAGCTGGCTAGGACTGCTGTTTATCCTTCGATTGGCCTTAAGCAATGTGTACTGGTCTAGCTGAGGTGCTAGTGATAGTCTTTGAAGGTGGCATGTGTGTGTTTCCCTGGTAACCCACACCTGCTGCTCTTTAATGTGAGCCAGGTAGGGGCAGGACGGTAGAGATAATGCTCCACACCACCAGCCGCCAGCTGGATCCAGCCGAGCCTCGAGCCTTGGAGACAGAGGCCATGACTTCCTGGGGCTTGAAAGGCTACACCAAAGCTGAAGCACCAGACTTACCAAAACATTAGATACTATATAATGCAGATTACTCTCTCTGCATATCCTCTCTGCATATGGCAGAGGTAAATGTAGGCCACCCACCTAGCTCAGCTCACAATGATCACCTACTTCCCACAATTCTCAGTCAATCCTCCTCAAGCCACTCCCCCACTGAATAAAAACCGGGTGAGGCCCTGGGTTGCTCTCTTGGTTCTGGAAAGCCACCTTGGTGGCTGGACTTAGAGTCCCTTCACTCCCCGATGATTGAAAATATAATTTAGTGTCTTTATTTTCGCTGTGGATTGTATTGTAAGTGGTAGATTGGAATCAACTTGATGGGACTCCAATAACGTAACCTTGGGATTACAAATATTGGCTTCTTGGACCGAGACGAGGACCTGAAGTGTCTCCTACATACCATGTGCTCGCGAAACGAATGAGACAAAATACCAAACTGGGATGACCTTACCTTCTGTAAGTATATACTGGGCTACTGAGGGATAAGATGATACACCTGGATAAAAGTGATGAGGAGTAGCTACCGCAATAGATGGACCAACTCCAGCTACAAACTGATTGCCATTCATATAAAATAACAGGTAGAGACAGAGGTTTACAACAGTACATACTCTGCTCCTGCTTGTGGTTGGAATTTTCCATATCAAAAAACTGAAAAAAAAATTACAGAATACAAACAAATGTTTTTTAAAGTCATTTGGAGACTATTCAGTCTAATATTTCTGGTGCTACCAATTTATATGCAGTGCTGAGTACAAACAAACGTTCTAACAGAAACCAATAACTCAGTGACTCAAAAGAATGTATCCCTATTAAGTTCCAGGTCTTTTACTGGAATAAGGCAAATATGTCATCAATGTCCAATGGCATTAACTTACCTTCCTGAACAGCTAACTAAATTATTTCATGCACAAAAGAAAAAGAACCCTGAGAATCTCTCCTGCCATTCTCTGGGAAATGATAATGAAGTACTAGAATCTAGAACTACATGTCACTACAACACTGATAAGGAACGGCTCTCTAAAGACATTTGTCTTTTGTCAGCCAAGGTCTCACTACGCAGTCAGACTGGCCTTGAGCTCACTTTGTAGCACATACTGGCCTCAAAACTCACAGTAACCCTCCTGCTTCAGCCTCCCAAGTGCTGGGATTACAGGTGTGCATCACCAGGCTCAGCTTCTAGAGACATTTGATCCAACACAGTGCATGTTTCATACTAATTCTCAGTTCACCATGGCACATAATGCCACCTTAGCAGCTGGCTTCCACTCCTGTCCTTACAGTGCACCCTATACACGACAACCAGAATCCTCTCCAAACACAAACAAGACCTGCCTCTTCCTGCCTCAGACATCTTTGTGACTTTGCACTGCACTGCCAGGCCCTTCCTGACCAGCCTGATGATATCCAATCTCACTCACTATGGCTGTCTGCCTTGCTCACTGAGCTGGAGCTACCCTGGCTGCCTTGCAACTTCTCAGCAGCGCCGAGCTCTGTACTGCCCCAGAAGCTTCACACTTGCTGCCATTTGTGTGAAATACCCACCTACTCCTAGCCCTGCTTTTTCCTGGTGCCTCTTACCTTTCAGGTCAGTTTTCTTGACCTTTTCATTTCAAAGCCCTTTTCTTGTTCCTTGATGCTTTTTAGTATTAACCTATTGATTTCCTTCATAATTTCTTTTCATGTATTCATCCATTACCACCTTCCCCACCAAAACCAACTTCTTGAGAGCAGAAACTTGGTCAACTCCAATCCCAGGTATATCACCACCAGCACCCAGCAGAGTCCCAAGGTTCTAAGTTTGTTAAATAAATGAATCCTGCATGTCTTGTTGATCACTTCCTCATTCTATAAACTCTCCACTCTCCCCTTGGTTTCTGTGTTTTGTTTGTGCACTCTGGTGCTCCACCTACCCTCTCCCTGACTCGTGTTCCCTCCTGCTTGGGGTCACTTCCTCCCACAGTGCTCTCATACCATCTGTTAAGGAGAGCACCCACTTTAAAGCTTCAACCATCACTTATCATCCTCCATACCCCCAGCTCCAACTTCAAGCCTCACCTTGATGCTCTGACTTTTTTATTTGGTGGAGGTACTAGAGATTGAGCCTGAGACCTCAGGCCAGCTAGGGAAAAGTACTCTACCTACCTATCCCCCCAGCCCAACTTCTCTGTTTTTCAACAGTAAAAAGATAATACCTATGTTCAGGATTGCTATAAAAAATTAGTGATAATAGGCCAGGGAGATGGCTCAGTGGAATAAGCGCGTCCCTGGCAAGCACAAGGACCTGAGTTCAATCCCCGGTTCTACCAAAAAAAAAAAAAACACAAATCCATTGGGGGCCGCTGAGATGGCTCAGTGGTCTAAAGCACCTACTTAGAACAAGCTTAGCAAAGCACAGGGACCGCGGTTCAATCCCCCAGCACCACATGCCAGCCAGCCCCTGCCCCCTGGTGGGCTGAGCTGGCCACACACACACAAATAAAATAAAATAAAATAAAATAAAATAAAATAAAATAAAATAAAATAAAATAAAATAAATAAAATAAAATAAGTGATAATAAATAACACTGCACAGGGGACATAAAAGAGGTTATAATTGCTACAAGCCTTAAGGTTATTTTTAATTCCTTCAGCTTCTTACATCCACATCTACACTCCTGCTAACTCTTGCCAATTCATATTTTAAACAATTATAATATATTTGTAATAGTAATATATGATTTATCCCTTTTTTTATTCAACTCCTTCACCTTAGTCCTGACCTCCAAATCACAAGACCAAATCTTGCCTTATTCACCGATTTGTCTATTACTCTAAATCAACTTTATCTCACTTAATAGTGCTTCAGCTTGAATAATTTCAGTTGATGTCTTTGAGCTCTATAATCCATTCTTCAGTTTATTAATTCCACCAAATAAATTCTTAATTTCAGGTATGATTTTTTTTTTTTAGATGTACAACGTACACTGGGCTCTTTTTGAGACACTCCATTTTACACAAATTCTTGTCTATTCTTTTCTTTCCTATCTTTCCGTTTTCTGTGTTTTACTTTTTTTTTTTTTTGGGGGGGGGACACAATGTCTCACCATGTCAGTAAGTCTCCCAAATTTGGCTCCCACTTGAGATGCTCCTGCTTCAGCCTCCCAGAGTACTGGGATTACAGGCCTATAGACATGTTCCCAGCTTTCTTCTATTTTCTTCCACATATTTGCAAGAATTAAATTTGTTATTTGCTAATTTCAGTAACTGGACCATCTGTGGAGGTGATATAGCTAAAAGGAACATTGGGCCAGCACCATTCTAGTCTTTCAAATTCCAAAAAATGTGAGTTAAATAAATCTCTTCAAGGGCTGGTGAGATGGCTCAGTGGTCTAAAGCACCTACTTAGAACAAGCTTAGCAAAGCACAAGGACCGCGGTTCAATCCCCCAGCACCACATGCCAGCCAGCTCCGCCCCCTGGTGGGCTGAGCTGGCCACACACAGACACAGACACAAAGAAATAAATAAATTTTTTAAAAAATAAAAAAATAAATATCTTCAAGTATTATTGAAGGGCTGGTGGTATAGCTCAGCAGACTAGGCACTTGCTTAGGTAAGCACAGGGGCCAGGGTTTGATCCCTGGCACAGCATGCCGTGCTGGCCCCACTCCCAGGGTGCACTGAGCCAGTGATGGAGTCTGGGCGTGGTGGTGCACACCTGTAATCCCAGCACTAGGGAGGCAGAAATCAGGAGGATCACTATGAGTCCAAGCTGCATAGTAAGACCCTGCACTAAAAAAAAAAAAAATTTAAACATTATTCAGCTGCAAGCATTTCATTATAGTAACAGAAACCAGACTAATACAGTAGAGTAAGAAACCTAAAGATGACAAAGTAAAGAGGAGGGTATCTGTAGACAAATGCAAATGCTATGCCATTTCAGTATAAGCAGCCTGGAGCCGGGGAGATAGTTCAGTGGAATAAGCACTTGCCTGGCAAGCGCAAGGACCTGAGTTCAATCCCCGGTTCCGAAAAAAAAAAAAAAAGAGGCTCAGTATAAGCAGCCTAGGGATCTGCAGATTTTGGAACCCATACCAGAGGCTGGACCCAATTCCTCTCTGAATATTGTATTCAACTTCTCTTTAGAGTTTGCCCTTAAAGCATAACATACATTCATCCATCATC